AAAAACCCCAACAAAAAAGAAAAGGGAAAAGAAGAAAAAAAAGTCGATTTGAATGGCGACCATGCATAATAAATTATAGAACTTTCTATTCTTAATACACTTAAGTAGTTTAATATTCTTCTCGTGTTTAAAGATATATTAAGTAAATTAAATGCTATGCCAAAATGAATTTCTATGAGAATATATGTTTAAAAACGTGCGGTTATATAACGTTTCTAGTACCAGTTGATTGCAGTATCAGTTGGAGCTCTAGAATCTAGTACTTCTTATTTTTGTTACCCTCAGATTATCATGGTTTAGATATGTTAAGATTTGGGAGTCCATCTTAAAAGGTCAACCTTATTAAGAGGAGTAGCCCAAGATCTTTATTAATTGGTCTGTGTCAACATCTTTATTCGATGTGGGATTATATCCCTTAACACGCCCCCGCAAGATGGTGGCTCATTTGAGTAGACCAATCTTGAAATCCACGTGCTCACTTTTTGGAGTCTTACCGGGATCGAATCGCTCGTTGGAGCATAATGGGCTCTGATACCATATTAAGATTTGGGGGTCCATCTTAAAAGGTCAACCTTATTAAGAGGAGTAGCCCAAGATCTTTATTAATTGGTCTGTGTCAACATCTTTATTCGATGTGGGATTATATCCCTTAACAAGATAGAATTATGCTGCGATTATGCCAATGTTATCACATAATTTCTCTCATCTTCTCAGGGTTGAATCAAGGTGTCACGGGACTTCCGCTGAAGGGCTGGCCATTAACCGTGAGTTTCTTATGGCTTTAATCATCTATTATACTCATTTGAGGATGCATATATTGTGAAGGAGATGAATTCTTGACAACTGTGCTTACCTTATCATGCAGGGTATTGACCAATTACGGCCAAGTTTGGGTTTACAAGTTCAAAAGTCCAATCTACAAACACAAAATCAGTTTCTTTTGGCATCACAACAACAGCAGGAGCTAGATCATGCACAAGGCAACCTTACTTCACCTAACTATGGATTTGGAGGATTACCTCGGGGTAATTTTAATTCAAAAGATGGTCAACCTCCAAGAAATGATGGATCTATATGCTCTCCAGGGCAATCAAATTCACTAAAGGTTCCGACTGTCCCTGAAATTTATTGGAAGTTCTTGTATACGCCTTCGTTTGTATTAAGATTTTGTCCCAATCAAACGGGGTTGGGTCTTGTGCTACCTTCACCCCTTCCCTGAAAGCCAAGAAAAGAAAAAAAGAAAGGTGGGGGAATTATAGGGTGCTAATCTACTCAACAGTGGCATTGCTGTATATTATGAGTTGTGGAAAAAGTTGGTTCCTAAATTTTCTTTAGTAATTTATTTCCTACACCTTTGTTTAAGATAGTAATTATGAGAATCAACCTTGAGGCATTTACTTTCTATCTCTTAATTGAAAATAGTATCCTGCTACCTCTAATTACTCATAAGTGTGACATTTACCCCTACATATGTTTGTTTGCTTAGACATTTGATTTTGCTTCTTTTGATGACTTATTCACTGGCTTTTCATGCCTTCTAAATAGTTTTGAATCCTCTCTGTTTTGAGGTAAATTAGAGACCTGATATTGACCTAAGATTTCTAATTTATTTGAATATAATAATAATGATGGATATTAGGAAAAACTGGATTTGTCTTTCGTTTTCTCTTTTCAAGTTGAAAGAGTGAAACATAAAAACTGTATCTATTGCACCTCAAATATGCAGACTTGACAAGCTCCTAAGTCCTAACGGTATAGTGTAAATAATAAATATGTTGCACCTCATATTGATGGGATGGGAAACCCTTTTCAGTTATCAATTGCAGATAGTTATTCATAACAAGTTGCTCTAAGATGCCTGCAACTAATTATATACCATTTTGATTAGATGAAGATCGCCCAAATGCAGCAGTCATCCTCTCAACAACAGGATCAGTTGCAACAGCAGCAACATCAATTGCAACAGGTTGGTTCTAATGAAGTTTAGGAAAAGCTTTGTATGCAAGAGCAGTAATCCTTATGTGTTGTTATTTATTCATTCCTCCTGTGTTTCTTTACAAGCATTGCTACATTGTATTGAGTTGTCCCCTCTTCAAGATTCCCATTTTCTTTGCATGAATTTATATTTTGATCTTACGCGATCTTTTACGTGAAACAGAATAACAGGAAAAGGAAACAGCACTCGTCATCTGGACCTGCCAATAGTACAGGTACTGGAAATACAGCAGGCCCTTCTCCGAGCTCACCAGCATCAACACATACACCTGGAGATGTGTCCAAAAGTATGATGATGTATGGTGCAGAGGGAACAATTGGAATTGCATCATCTACCAATCAGTTGGTATGTTTGCATTTTGATATATGTTTGCCGTTTGTACTTCGTTGCTTCATATTACAATAATTTTCTAACTGACAATATAAACTTGGTGGTGTTTAAAATCTTCACGCAGACAATTTGTATTGGTTTCTATAGTTACTCATCTACATTTAATGTATATACTAGTATATTTTTTTGTATTACAATTTTCTGAAAAGTAGCTCTAGTCGAATATAACGATGAAGAAGGATTCCTGTAGTTTATCGTAGTTTATTGTAGAAGGCTTAGCTTGTAGTTGATTTTCTGGAAAACTGTCATGTTAAATTGGCATTCATGAACTTGTGCCAGAGACATGGATCCTTATGAGCTTACTTGAACTCAGTTGATTCTGGTAAGCTGGTATTCATGGGCTTATCTCATGGAAATCGAAGTTCTGCATGACCATGCGTTCCCTATCTTTTCCTTCTTTTTATTTTTTATTTTTTATATTTTTTGTCCAGGATGACTTGGAGAATTTTGGAGACGTTGGTTCCCTGGAAGACAACGTGGAATCATTTTTGTCGCATGATGGAGATGAAAATATATACAGCACTCTGAAACAGGCTCTAAGTGAGCACAAACCAGAAACTTCTAAAGGTGGTCTTCAGTCACTTGTGTGTGTGCATGAGGAATCTGTTTTTTCTTAGTTCAGCTGCTGTTACGGACAAGATGTTATTTTTATGCATTATTTCTTCATTTTAGGTTTTTCCTTTGGAGAGGTTGGTTGTATACGGACAAGAAATAAAGTGACATGTTGTCATTTTTCTTCGGATGGAAAGTTGTTGGCTAGTGCTGGTCATGACAAAAAGGTTTAATGCGTCTGATGACTTTATGAGCAAACAGTCAAAACTTCATTCTTCGTTTTTATTCTTTATAGGATACTACAAATTTGTTTTACTGTTTCATTACTGCTTCGAGTTTAATTGTACAACTAAAAAATGATGCTTTACAAGATTAACTTCACTAGTGATTTAAAGGGTTTACCTTTGTAGTTATCAGTATATATTCTATTTACATGCATCAGGCTGTTCTTTGGAACATGGATACTCTGCAAACGGAAGCCACTCCAGAAGAACACCAGTACTTAATTACAGATGTCCGATTCCGGCCCAATACAAGTCAACTTGCGACAGCTTCATTAGACAAGTCTGTCAGATTGTGGGATGCAGCTAATGTAATGATTCCTCTGACCTTCTGCCTGAAAATTTACTCAAAATAGATATAGATATGTGCATGTTGGATTGGGCACTCACAGACGCTTAATTCTCATGGCTAAGCCCACTCCTACTCTCTTTCTAAACAGTTGAAAAATTCAGAACTCTACATGCTTGATAAAACAAACCTATATTGACATCTGCATTTTTAGTTTGCTGTTACTTAGTGCTTAACTGATTTAAATTTTATTTGCAGCCAAGTTGTTGTCTGCAAGCGTATACAGGGCATACTTCCCCTGTTATGTCCCTTGATTTCCACCCCAAGAAGAATGATCTGTTTTGTTTTTGTGATAGTAACAATGAAATTCGCTATTGGAATATCAGTCCATTCTTGTGCGCTCGAATTTCCAAGGTTTATGTCTATTACTGATCTTGGATTTTCTACTTTTGCCTTCAATTTCATCAGTTTTTCTTGAAGTTCCATTTTATAATTTGTATGTTAATTTTACTGATTGTCTGAAATAGCAAGGAGGCAGTGCACAAGTTAGATTTCACCCAATAACTGGACAGATGTTGGCGGCAGCATCAGACAAAGTGGTGTCCATCTTTGATGTCGAAACTGACAGGCAAATACATTCATTCCAGGTTTGTACATTCACAATTTCCTACTGATAATCGTTGAGGAGTCAAAAAGTATTTGATTCATATCATTTGAAGATATTATGTGCAAATGATGTTTGGAATAAGTATAAAGTTTAACTAGAAAATTTTGTTGCGTTCTTAGGGACATTCTGGTAATGTGAACTACCTTTGCTGGGATCTCAACGGCAGTCTGTTGGCTTCCGTCAGTGAGGACTGCATTAAGGTTTGGTCATTGGGGTCTGGAGAGTGCACTCATGAGCTCAACGCCAATGGGAACCAATTCCATTCTTGTGTTTTTCATCCAACTTATTCGTCTATCTTTGTTATTGGTGGATTGAAGGTAACTCTCTCTCTCTCTCTCTCTCTCATGTGTGCATTACTATAGAAACCGCATCCGCATTGATGATTGTATATTACTTGGTGACTGACTCCACATCATTACACGAGTTCTCCTTTTCGGTATTTGCTGTGATAACCGAACCTTTTTCTATATACTTAACTCGGTTTTGTCATCTGAGCTTATCCCATTTCTTTATCTTCGTGTCATTTAAAGTTGTGTTCCAAGAAACTTTTCAGGTCAACTTTTTTGGAATTAGATATCTTTCATTCGGCTTAAGCTTCAAAAATTGTATTGGACCTGAAGTGAACGTTTCGGATCTGGACAGAGGAAAGAAAATAGAGAATGGAGGTTTAAGATCTATTGCAAATGTAATCCTTTAGTCTGGGGTTTCAAATCGGATAACCTGTTAAGTTATCCGTGTCGTTAGGGCTCCTAATAACGTATACATGCACCCACCCTAAAGCTTGTACTTTCGTTCGTTGAATTGCTTCTCTCTTTGTTCTTAATTTTTATATCTAAGCATTTTTGTTGCTGCTTATCCCTCAAGTATGCAAATTATGTAATGTTCTCTTTTTAACTTGATGGTGTAGTCTCTGGAGCTATGGAACGTGGTCGAAAACAAAAGCATGACAGTTCCAGCACACGAGAATATTGTATCTGCGTTGGCACAGTCACCCCTGACAGGAATGGTTGCCTCTGCAAGTCATGACAGTTCGGTTAAGTTATGGAAATAAGCAAAGAAGATCAATGGTAATATCGAGGTTGTTCCTTTACGTGTTGAATGGAGTGTTGTTTTCTTTGGTATAATTGTGAGAAACGTGAATGATAGCTTTGATGAAGTAGAGAGTTGAGAAGCTTTAATAAAGCACAAGATTTTGGCTCTTTCTAATGGTAATATCAACACACATCAGGTAACTAGTCTATTATGTGGGAACCTAATTTATTTAGAGGTCTTGTATGAAGAAAGAAAAAAGTCCAAATAAATGCAATTAAAAATTGGTGTTATCAGCTGTTGTAATGCTTTTTTGTTACATGAATATGGGTGATTAGGGATTTTTGATTGATTGATGGCATTTTTTTTCATTGTGCTTTTTTTTTTTTTATTCTACATAAAACCACACATGTAATGATGTCTGCATTCGAGAATATAGGTTTCTTCATATGTGACTTTCAATTGTGATCTTAATGTCAATGTTGACGATTTTCATCACTTGGAAGTTGGAAGATTCAGATGTACGTGTTTAAATAGATTGAAAATTCAGAACTTTACTTTTGAAGGTTACAAGGGAGTTAAAATCAAGATTAGCGAGGCTGATCCTAATTTTCCACAAAAAAATGTGTTAAGATTTAGGTCATGAGATTTGGCAAAGTATTCGTCTTCCTTAAACCCCAACTTTGCTACTGCATGAATTTTTTTGAAATATACATAGTAGAAGGACAAAACCATCTGCTCTGCCAATAAACTGATCTGCTATCCGAAATAGGCTCCACTCTGATATGATTATGACTTGGAATGAGAAAACTCGCGAAGGAATTTGAAAACTTGGTGAAATGTGCAAGATATATTCGTTTGAAATTCATATCAAGGGTAATAATAATGTGATTGGATTATTGAGTTGTACAAAAACTTGTTATTTCCTCAACGCTCCTGGCTATGCGATGTTTGACAAAGCTTTTAAAGATTATAAGTTAGTGGATTTTATAGAATGTGTTGTAAATAGTGGATAAAGGTTGCGGTTAAAATTGAAGTTGATCAACTTATAATCTCAAAAAAAGACTTTGTCAGAAGGGATGATGTTTGTGAATTGTTTTAATTATTACTACTTTTAATTAATTGTTCGTTAAATCATCGGTTTTTGAAAGGTAACAAGTTGATATGTGGGTTGTTTCTTTAGATATCGTAGTAAAAAATCGAAATTTGGATAGAATGTAGAAATATGCAAATTTTACAGTCTTTTAAATGAATTCTTTAGTGATAGATTGCTCTTAATTAAGACTTATCGATATTTTTCAAACTTAAATGAACTAATAATAGATCGATTTGCGCACTTTTTTTATTTATTTACTAAATTTATCATATTTAGGATAAAAAATCAAAATCACATTTTAAGTATTTTTTATTAAAATAGGAATTAGGAATAAAATCATCAATTAAATAGTAGTTCTCGTGAGAACGATAACTCGGACTGTTGTGTCTATACACTCTATATAAATCATGCGACATTGAACCCCACATGCAAATAATGCTAGAGACTTCCAAGGTGACAATTAGAAGAAGTTGCTGCTGCTTCCAATGCGTTGAACGATGCTTTCGAAAATCTAGCAAATGTCTCTCTCTTCTCCATCCAATAATTCCCAAGAAGATGCCAAAAATATTTTTGATGCTACCACTACATCCATTGAGACAGGAAAACCAGAGGAAATGTCCCGACTCAGTATAATTTTCCGTTCGACTCCATGAGTTTTGTATATCTGATATTCGAAACTTTCATGTTTAGCAGTGACCTCCTCTCCCTACTTGATTCACTCATGAGATCTTTAGTAGGGAGGATTGGGTACGACTAGACAATATTAAGAAAAAAAAGTTATTTAATATTTTATTTATTAAATCGTTTAATTCTACCTAATACTATGTACCATATGTGCAATTAAAGTTCACTTTTTTTTTTATGTATGATGCCAAGTGTGGAACTTGAATTCGACCTGGATTTTTCTTAGCTTCACTGCCTTTTTTGTGTATCAAACATTGCATTTCGGGCGCGAACACATCGACCCATTTTGGTAAGTTGGTAGATGTCATCAGTAGAGAGAATAAAAAAAAACGAAAATAATGTTTAGACAACTTGAAGTAACTACAATGTCCATAAATTGAGTATTGATTGCTCATATTGGCTAGTTAATATTATTGGTTCAATGGCATTTGTATCACCGTAAAGTTTTACCCCATTCCTAGAGCCAAAACTACTAGGAAAGTGTAAATATGGGCTGTTGAAATCCGTACACTACTTGGTAATTTATTCATAGAGCCCATTAAAGTCAGCCATCCACAGTGGAACTAGGCGATTCCCTAGAAATTCTTCAATTAAAATGATTTTTACCATTTTTAAAAAGTTTTCGATGATCTTTGTAGATCCAATAAGTGTGAGTTTTGAAAAATTATTCATGTATTGTGTTACGACTCTAGTAACTGGTCCTTAGATCAAACGAAGGCCTGCATTTCACATCACCACACTTTATCTGAGGCTCCGATGCGATAAGGTGAATACTACATGTTAACGTATGTGTCCAAATCGCTAAAGCGATTCGGGTCAGTACAGGCAGTGATGAAGTGACACGGTTGGAAGACACGCCTACTAATGGGAGTAGCAGCGCCTCGACACGATGGACAAATCTTTTATACGAAAATCTGTCCAAGATAAAATCTCTTGAATGATGCCATCTTCACAGCAGGTGTCAAAATGTCAAGTCGAATTTATTTTGTCAGGAAGCATTAAATGTTCGTCCACCTATGGAGTGACTAATTGACGTTTACGAAGAGACGGCTCGGCCAACAAATGAGGCCATGTGTCTTCCATCTAACGGTCATTCCTCCCCCTTCCTCTATAAATACCCATTCTTGGTGCCTTGGTAAAATTAATGCAACTCCAACTCTATAGTTTAAACCATTTCCTCCCCCACATTATAAGTGATAACCGGAGTCCCCAATCTTCGTTTATCACTTTACAAACTTAATTACGGTGTGTTACAAGTACACAGGAAGGAGATTACGTGAAACTGTTTTCTATTGGCTACGTGTCAAGTCCATTTAATGTGATCAGCATATCATATTACTATGTTCAATGAAGGTTTAAAAAAGATTAATCGAATATTGAGCTTTTTTTTCTCGTGAGGTGAAGTGGAAAAAATACCATAAATCAAAAAAAGTAAAAATATTAGTAAATACAAAACAAGCACATAATAAATCATAAAAAAATTGTACAAAATGTACTGCAGAATAATATAAAGTGTACAAATAAACAAAATAATTGTTCAATAATATAAAAGAAGTTGATTGTTTACAAAGGGGATATTTTTTCTATTAAAAAAAAACTTTTCATGTTTTAGTACGCCAGTGCTACTTACAAAGTAGGTTAATGGGAATTTTTTAATATTTCATGGGCATACACCTGAAGTAAGTTTAAAAAATTAAGAAGCTCGTGCTTGACAAGCTTTGAGACTCGTTCCTCACTCAGTTGAAGTGTACGCCTTTATAAACTCTCTCACAATTATTGTTCACCTTACTCTAAGGTGGACCTTAGTCGGAAATCGGAATTTCTTAAAGGGTGAGGACATTTAGTGTATGTTTGGGAGTGCTTTTAAGTTGTGGATCCAATAAAATATGTAGATAATAAGTGAATCCTATAAAGTGCTCGTGTGAAAGTGATTTTTTTTTTTTTTGAAAACGCACAATTAAAAAATATGAAAAAGATGATGAAACGTGATTTTTTTTTTTAAGTGGTTAAAATTGAATATAGGGTAGTCATTTTCAAATAAGGGTTCGTTTGATTGTAAAAATAGAATTTGGGTGAAAAGAAAATAAATTTCAGGAAATTGATTTGCCTAAAACTTGTTTTTTGTAAATTGTCAATTAACTGTATTTGATTGGTATAATTTTTCACCTGGAAAATATTGAAATTTTGGATCTTTTAATTTTCGTTTGGTTGTGTTTTTCATATAAATTGTCCATTAAATGGATAAAATTTGTTTCAATTGCCAAAAAAAAAAAAAAATACCTAGAAAATATTTTCACACTAAACCCATAGGAAAAAATTTTCCTCAAAAATAAAAAAAAAACGTGAAAAATCAATTCCATGAAAAATTTAGTTAATCAAACATACAAAAATGTGGAAATAGATTTTAATTTCCATTTTTCATAGAAAAGAAAGAGCAATCACACTTGGCTAAAAGCAAAATGTGTATATAAAAGTAATGTTTGATCATCTTAAAAAAATAATAATAATAAGCTTTGCCAAACATGCACTTACTACATATCACCATGAGTCACTACTACACTGACTAATGAAATTACGATGCATTTTTATTTTTTAAACAATTTGGTATGGTCTTAAGGCCATTTAAACCGGTGATGAACACCAAAGATAAAATAAAATTATTCCTTTTTAACCATGCATTATAAATGAGTTTCACTACATTAAATCTTATAAAACTCGGCGTGTAGATTTATAATTATTGAGCATCTAATGTGTTCAAAACATGGTAGCAAAATATATATTTATTATAGAACGATCTAGAAATGGTGATTTAGACAAAATTATTGCTATTCGAAGGTTGAGTTTTGTGAAATCAATTAGTCGAAAGTATAAATTATCATAGACATCGATTTTAAGGATGAATTCTGCAACGTCCACCCTTTCGTGTCATTTTTTCTATGAACCTAACCAATGGTATTTCCATGGATTGCACATTGTAATATTTTTGAATAATGATATGTGTACACC